GATGAAACAGGAAATGCTGTGGTGTTCCTTTCACCTCTTGTGTAAAGCAGACATCTGAGGGACAGTGGTGCTGCTTCCACGAGGCAAATGTGTATTCGTGACCTCACCTGCTGGGGATGCGTGATGATCAGGAACCAAACTGGGCACGCCGTGCTCAGACCCGCCCCTCTCTGGGATTCGATGAAGGCCGCTCACTCTCGCCAATTGCAACAGACAGAGCAGAACTCCAACCTGTGCCAAAGGCCCAGGCCTCCTGCCACTGTGGGCTTCAGCACTCTCCAGGTCATGTCACGCTGAGCACTCAGGAACTCTCTCGTCCTGCATCGCAGGTACAGAAAGTGCATCAGAGAGAGACACACTGGAGTCCCCCCACAGTGTGCCTTAACTTCCCCTCCCCTGGAGGGATCACTCTTAGAGGTGGACAGGGGAACCCCTGTACAGCAACCTCCAGCTACCCATTTCCTCAGTAACCCCACAAATGGACAATTCAGTGCAGGGTCTCTCCTGTCACCTCCATTGCCGTGCTGTCATGCAAATTACACCTCGATGGTTGCATTGAGCTGGCTATTGGATTGGACTGGAAGGCCTGCAGGATGAGCATGCATGCCCTAGATAAGGCTTCATTGAGTATTTGATCAATGGTTGAGCATTTATACCCTACAAAAACTTAATTAAGTAATAGACCAATGGTTGAGCATTCATATCCAAGTTAAGGTTTAAATGCGAGCAATTTTGCAATGCAAACTAAACATGCAGAATGACTTTAGATTAGAATTTGTCATTTCCAAACTTTTTGATGATGATGATGGTTGTTCATTGATGACAGTTGTAATTTGTGCAGCTTATCTGTTTGTAAACCTGTGCAGGATAGCTTTTTTTTTTTTGGAAGTGGGGCAATCCCACTCTCTTGACCTCAGAAGCCTGGGTCCAGTGGTACGAGCAGTTGTCATGCCTAGAGATTTTGATAGTTGCAGTGGATGGCCATGACGCCTTTCTGTGCCTTGTCATACCCTTTGCTTTCCATGGAGCGTTGCAGCAGTATAGTGTCCCATCCCTATACTGGGGCATTAGGACCCACAGTCCAGGGTGAGTACACCCTACTGGCCCCACTAACACCTCTTCCAGCAGCAACCTTAGTTTTCCCCAGGAGGTCTGCCATCCAGGTACTGACCAGGGTCACACCTGCTTAGCTGCAAGGGTGATATGATGAATTATTTTATTAACAGAGTATATAAAGTGTTAATTGAGTGACATACATGTGATAATTCTCCCTTGTTGAGTAATTGCAAATTCGTAATAGCATTCTAATCCTGAGCACAGCCTGAACCACACTCTTAACACTAGTTATTTGCAGAGGGTGCTAATTTAATTTATATCTCATTATGATATAAGGGTTATAATATAAGTCTAAAAGGGGTGATTGTGTAAGCCCTTTAAATAAAGTGTGGCTATACCTATTGTGTCCTTCAATATAAACATGAAGCAAGAAAACAAAAACATTTCCTGCTCTGTAGACATTAAGCAACATACAGAAAGTGGACATGCACTAAAAGCTCCAAAACTAATTTCATGAGACTGAGAGAGAAACATAACTAGAAAACATTTTTTTTAAACACATACACAGAAAAGCATCATTTGTCAAGTTTCAGATGTTGTTTTCCTTGTTAGTGTTACCATTGAGTTCTTTTGCCGTATGTCTATTTCTCCCCCAAAGCTGCATGAGCTAAAAGGACTTACAGTGAAAGTCTAGACATTAATTAAAATAATTCACTTATTAATGTCTTTCTTACTTAAAAACTGCAGTGTTATCATTTAACACTAGGTCTAATGGACCAGATCTTTTTAATTGTGTTGCTTTTTAGGCACTTGTTAGTTCATGAACTAAAGGCCCCTGAATAGTTGAATGAAAATGACAATTATCCAATTCTGCCTGCAATTTATTAGAGGACAAGATTAGGAGAGGAAAATGCAGATGATCAATACAAGCAAAAGTTTAAAAGTACAGTTACATTGAGGAGGACATTCAGACTACCTAGAGCTTCTCCCCTTTTGGTGAAAGAACTCAGAATATTGGATTCAGCATCATGGTTGGTTAGCTTATACTCCTACAACACTTTGTGTAAAGAAGTCCCTACCATTCTTGGTTTTAAAAACATTTCCAATAGTTTCCACTTATGTCCGCTGGGTTGTGTCATTGTTGGCTCTCAAGCCTGACTGAGGGAGAGAATTGGTTAATACCCGTTAGGAATCCCAGATGGAGAGATATGTGGATCCGGTGCAGACGCAGATGCGGGTAGTTGACAAGGCAGGCGAACAATCCAATACAACAGGCGAGTTCGTGGTCCAAAGGAGTAAGGTAGGTCGGAATCCAGGGAGAACATGGGAGGAAAACAGTCCGAGACAAGAGGCTAGGTCCAAAGCCGAAAAGGCAGAAGGGGAGGGACAGAGTCCAGAGTCCAGAGTCCAGAGTCCAGAGTCCAGAGTCCAGAGTCCAGAGTCCAGAGTCCAGAGTCCAGAGTCCAGAGTCCAGAGTCCAGAGTTATACAAGGTATGGAAAACCACCAGGTAGAGCGCTCAATGAGTAGACTCAATACCGAGCGGGTTAGGATGTTATAAATAGCGCGGCGTGCCGCACGGCAGAGCGCGTGCAGGTGGGTTAACACGTGCGCCGGCGCTTGTTGTTATTAACCCGCTGCTGGTGCTGATTAGATCGCGTATGGGTTGATCTCCGCTGGCTGGTGGTCGTGACAATACCTTTGAGGATCCTGAATACTTGTCAGTATAGGACATTTATTTAAAGCCAAGAAAATAGCTGTTTGCTCTTCTTGGACTGATTCTAGTGCCGCAATATAATTTTTATGACATGGTGACCAACAAATCTAAATGAGGACCTGCTAGCGCATGGCACTTTTTTAACATCACTGGATTTATATTCCACAATTCTAACTCCATATCCCAGCGTTGCTGGTTTTTTTACTGCTTCGCCGTATTGTGTAGAAAAAGAAAGATTGTAAACATGGACATTAAGTGTTTGCAGAAGTAGGGTGTTTAAGTGTTTTACATCTTATGTGTATTATTATGTTTTCTGTGCTACCTGTGTAACACTCAGAACTTGTATTTTGTCTCAATCTTTCTCAACATCCCTACAATTTTTGCTAATCATCCTTTTTTGGTTGACCAGTTACGAAATACTACAAGAGTCCTTCTATGAATTAGGAGGAGCAACGGTCTTCCTCATGCAGATCCCCGCAGTGTTCTCCGTGTCACATCACTGTCTTAAACGTTTTAAAGATGTTTGCGACCACATCCAAAGCCACAGTATCCCATCTGGTCAGATTTCTGCGCTTGCAATAATCTGATAACTGACTGAAAGCTATTTTGCAAGGCAACAGATACCGCTGAAAGCCGTTTACACAATAAATGCTCTGTGTGGCAGCAGCGAAGTCCAGACCAGCAGGCAGTGGTGTGTAATACGCGACCCCTGCTGGTGAGAAAAGGCTATTGCATGATCTCATTTTGACCGCAGTTCCTCAAGGAGAAGCTGAATGATCGTGTCTGCCTGTGTAGCACCAGCTAGGATGATAAATTTGCAAAAGAACCTTCCAGCAAAGCACAGGAGGTCCGAAGCACGTTTTCTACTTTTCTCAAACTTCCCCCATTTTCCACTGACACGTTTATAAACATACAATATGAATAATTCTGGAGGATAGTGTAAACTAAATTTCTTGGCTTGGCTTCCTTAAAACTATTTACATTATTATGCTAACAGCTGAATTGTAGTTCTAAAAAATATATTCAGCTAAGGATCTTCAATGGTACTAAGCTGGAGAGTGACAATGAATCTTTTCCATTGCTAATGCTAGAAACACAAGTATTTGTGTTTTGTGCTTGTTATGGGGAACAACGGCAGTACTACATAGGAAGCTTCTTCAGTTTCCTCCACGTCATTGCGACGCAGTCAGTGTGGCCCGATCTCCGCCTGGTAAATCAGAAACGATGCTTGTGAATGAAACTCAACTGATCCTGACCTGCTGTATGGCGTTTGCATGCTCCATTGTGTTGACATGGGTTTTCCCAGCGTGCTCCGGGTTCCTCGACCTCCCAGATGCGTGTCGGCTTAGTTGATTCCCGTCCCCGCGTGCGTGTACGCGTGCGCCTTGTAATGACGGGTGCCCCATCCAAAATGTATCCCACCTTGCACCCTGTTTTTTTCTGGATAGCCTCCAGGCTGTCAGATTCCTTGCCAGGAAGAAGTGGATTTCTCATAATGGCTAGATCACAGCCCAACACTAGGAGACACCCGTCATTTTTGGAGTTGGAGGTGTACTTTAGCGTAGACTTTAAAATCCTCATGCTCACCTACAAGGCTTTACATGGCTTGGCACCTCAATACCTGTCTGAACTTTTATCGCCCTACTCCCC